TCCCCCCCTTTTTTCCCCCCCCTTTCTCTTCCCTTTTTTTTTCCCTTTTTTTTCCCTTTTTTTGGGGGGGCGGGTGGGGGCGCATTTGTCAATTAATGCGTGTGTCATCCTTGCGCAGGGGACATGCTAATCTATCTTCTCGTGCGCAAGGATGACCCACATAAATTGAGAAATGGTCGCCACCCCCGCAAAAAAACAAGGGAAAAAAAGGAAAAAAAGGGAAGAAAAAGGGGGGGGGGCAAAGGTTGCTGCCCAAACAAATTGCGCAGGGGCCATGCTAATCAAAATTGAGAAGTAAATTGAGGAATGGTCCCCCCTCAAAAAATTTAAGAGCATCCTTCCAATTTCCTTTTTTTGGGGGGGGGGACCAGTTCTCAATTTATTTCTCAATTTCTCAATTTATTTCTCAATTTATTTCTCAATTTTGACGGGAAGGACTGGCTTAGCGCTGACCGCTGGTCTCCTTTCTGTGGTTTTGATTTGTTTTCTTTTGTAGTTTTTTTGTGCATGGTTTCTTCACGGTTGGTGGAATTTGGATTACTAAATTAGGGTTGTCACAGTTGTTGTGATTAGAGTTTTCTTGGTGATGAACTTAGATTTTTCTGATGATAATTTTCGTTGATTTTTCAGTGGTAGGGGCTGTGGAGTTGCCTGTGGGGTGAAATCTAGTGGTGCCCTCGATGTGCTTGGCCGGTGATGCCTTGCCCGCTTAGGGCCCCACCTAATTTTGTAAGGGACGCCGGGCCCGGTTCCCGGCTTGTATAAGAAATTTGTATATTGAAAAGAAAAAAAAAAGAATCTAAGACCCCCCTTGAGGCGCCCACACTATTTTTCCATCTTTTCCTGTCAGCCAATGGGTGGGGGCGCTTCTCATATCGCCCATGTGTATATACGATATATATATATAAAAAAACACTGTACACTAAGCAAAGGAAGAAAAAAGAATCTCTATTGGGAGATCGGTCAGTCATCTGTGGCCACCACAGGGAAATGGACTTTGAGGCTTGAGCGCCCTCGCACCGTCTTTAAAATAAAAAATCCAGGAATCCATTTTTTTTTTTTTTTTTTTTTTTTTTTTTTTTTTTTTTAATAGAGGAAGGTTGTAAACTTTATTGAATTTGAAGAGGTGGTTTCCCCTCGAATAACTTGGGATTGAACCAGCTGGCCTAGCTCAGTTGGTACACCCCTGAACTGTTGAAATGCAGACCTGAGTCCGTATTCTGCAAGAAGCAGATGAGTAAACTACTTCGATTCTTTTTTTTTCTTTTTTTTTTTTAACAAAATGCTACGATTCTGAATTATCTAGCGCCGGTCAGTTTAATTAAAAAAAAAAAAACCAAGAAAAAAAACCTTGCGATTCCTGTGTTATGAACTTGGTTGCTTGTGGTCAATTTCGCCAGCACTCCCACACAGAGTCTCCCACGCATGGCCATACAGGAATCGCAAGTTTTTTTTTTTTTTTTTTTTTTTTTTTAATTAAACTGACGGGCGCTAGATACACACACAGAAGAAAGGGGAGAGGAAGAGGAATCATCACATCACACAGGAGAAATATGCGCAGCAGAAGACTTTTTCATTTTTTCGTCCATGGTCCGATCTTCAAGAATCGAACACGCGATCTCCCTCATGGGAGTTGCACGCTCAACCAAACGGCTAAGCAGAAGACAGTGCGATTATCCCCAGAGTCTCCTCACAACCAATCACAAAAGAGTCACCGAGTCGATCACATCCATAGATTCAATGAACACTGAAATAGCAAAATACACAATGGGCCTCGCTGCACTACTCTTGAAATGCACAAAAGACAAAAATCATGTCGCTGTATCTTTCCATGTTCTAGGGGAAGATTCACTCTCGTTTTGCACCTTTCGAGAGTGGTGCAGCGAGGCCCAATATAGGAGTCTGGTCACATCAGAAATTGTCTCAGAACAATATAGCGCTGCTCAGGGGAAGCAACGCTAGCGCTTCTTCTACTCCTACTGAGTAGCCTGGCTACTCTCCCCAGGACCCTGAAACCACAATCGCCATACAACTAGGGCCTCCTGAGGACCTGCGCCACCCAACAGATGAAGATGAAGTTGATGTTGATCGTTAGCAAACTTAAGGCATCCTCACACAGACCGCAGACATCGCCAAGCAGGGAAGATGACGACAGAAACGAGACGAGAAGGGAAGAAGAAGGCCAGCGCCACAGTGTCTGATGAAGATGGAGCCCCGGATGATCTTCTTGATGAAGATCAGCAGCTGCGCCACCCTTTCTGACGAAGAAGACGACCCTCTGAGAACACTTGCTGCAGCTATGGCTGCAGCCCACCACTCCGAAGCTTCCAGCAGACCTCCTCCACAGAGCCCCGGTCTCCTGGCAGTCCCAACGTACTGCAGGAGGATAGAGGGGTCCCCGGCTATGACCTCCTCTCCAAGGAGGGTGTGGCGAGAAGAATTGGCAGAGAAAGGCCAATTGCCCTTCAGCGCTGAGAAGGGTCATACAGTATTGCGATCCGTCTCATACACTGGTTGATTGGATTCTGTACCGAATTTGGTCCTCTGGGGGACATCCCACTGTTGCACTGTCAGACCCTGCTCAGCGCTGAAGGGCAATTGGCCTTTCTGTGCCAGTTCTTCTCGCCACACCCTCAGAAGTGAATCCAATCACTCAATCGCCAGAAGAGAGTGAATCGCCAGGCTATTTTTAGTCTTCCAGAGTCTTCCAGACCTCTGGGGGGCCAAACACCATCCCACCCTGCGTATTCACCACCTACACCTATTCGCCACCACCACCCTGAAGATGACAATTCACGAAGAAATGCACCCTGTCGCCACCCTGAAGATGACAATTCACGAAGAAATTCACCCTGTCGCCACCCTGAAGATGACAATTCACGAAGAAATTCACCCTGTCGCCACCCTGAAGATGACAATTCACCAAGAAATTCACCCTGTCGCCACCCTGAAGATGACAATTCACCAAGAAATTCACCCTGTCGCCACCCTGAAGATGACAATTCACCAAGAAATTC